TTTTGCTATGATTTCAGTGAAATAAAAATTATGTTTGTATGGACTGATTTTCCTAATCAAGATGACTGCATTCCTCTGTAGTGTCCTTGTAACTGCTACTTATTAATGACTCTTTTATGTTCGTTGGTGTTTCTTGCAGCCAGGCCAGGAACAGATTTTGGATATAGAAAGCCAAATAAAGTTAAACATTCACCCATTAGTTATGGCAAAGAAGTCCCAGAAACGCTCTGTGCGATTTGAAAAAGATCAATTAGGCTGCATGTCGGGTTTTATCAGTATATTTGACTTCCGGCACGGTCGCCCCACCTGGAAGCTGATTTCTGATAGGAGGCATGGAAGTAAGCATGTTGTTGGTAAGAACTCTGAATTATTTTTCAATTGGAAATGGTGCTTTTCTGCCATTTGTTGCCAAATTTCTTCAGGCTGAAATGAGTATGCAGTGAGTGATTGTGTTCTTGGGCATTCTGCAGCAAGATTTTATAGTTAACACTTACCTGAACGAGATTTTCTCAGTTTGACCTATGATTGGGAATTGGTTTTTAGTAGATTTGCTTTGGAATCATCAAAAGGACAATATTCCAGATTGTTGTTGAATTTCTATTTTTCTTTTTGCAGGTACTGGACTTTCAAGGAATCAGTTTGAGATGTTGAGTAATTTGGATAAAAACTTCCAAGGCACCCTTGTAAGTGTGGGCATATCCAACTGAACTTGTGCTTTGAAATTAATATGCTAGTTTCCGTGACAGGGAGGGGAGGAACTGGGAGCTTACCGCATAATAGACTGTAGTGATTATATAACTAATAATTCCACACTAAATTGTCTTCAGGACGGTGATGTGAGCACAACAGCAATAGTGACAGCCGATGCTTGTAAGCCTAGTGTGAAGAAACTCATGGAAGAAGAAATGTCCATTGAGCAAGACACAAAAAAGGAGATAAGCAATGATGAAGCAGAAACTAAACAGTCTGATTCAAGCCAGATCAGAAAGGACCACAAGAAACCAAAGAAGACTCGCAAGAAAAGCCGTGACATGGACACCCATAATTTGAATGCTTCTGAGAACTCGGAATCTGTATGCTCTTGCAATCAGAACCCAGAGCAGAAAACTAGAAGTAATTTTGGCATAGATGAGATAAGGGAAGAGGTAAGTTGCCAGATCCATCAGAAATATATTAATTGTGCGAATCATGATGTGAATGGTGAAGCTCCTGAAAAATCGAACTACAAGCACTCTGATTTTGAAGAGTTATGTGTGGCAATCAAGGAGTTCATGAACCAGAAGTTTACTGATGGAAAACATCTCACAGAAGATCAGAAAATCCACCACTTCAGAGAACTAATGGATGCACTTGAGGTCTTAAGTTCAGATGAAGAATTGTTTCTGAAACTTTTGCGAGATCCAAACTCACTGTTGGCAAAATATGTCCAAAACTTGCAGGATTCTCAGATAGAGAAAGATGAAGAATCCCAGTCCTTTGCAGAGTCTAAGTTGTCAGAACAGAAGCTTGGCGATTTAAAGCAACCTGAGGAGCTTGTCATCCGTAAACATCGTTACTTTTTCAGGAGAAAGATCAAGCCTCAGGAAAGAAACCCAACAAAGGCAAATGAGAATTCTGAAGCTTCAAAGAGAATTGTCATTCTGAAGCCTGGGCCTCCAGGCTTACGAAACTCTGAAACTGAAAATAGCCCATCCCCAGAATCCCATTACATTGCAAGGAATAAAGGGACAACTGAAAGAGTTGGTTCCCACTTTTTTCTATCTGAAATAAAAAGGAAATTGAAGAATGCTATGGGAAAGCAACAGCATGGGGCATCTACTGTTGGAATTTCAAACAGATTGCCCTATAAACGTCAGAGTTTGGAAGATAGTGACAGAGGAGTTGGTAAAGAAAAAGCTGGAAGTTCTCCTGGTAAAGAGCACTTCTACATCGAAAGAATTGCTAAACCTCCCAGTGGTATCAAGAGGGTAGACAAGACTGGCAAAGTGAAAGAATCTGAAATAAGTTTGGAGCATGAAAATCATGGTATTCTGGATCAAAGGGTATCTAACATCTACATTGAAGCCAAAAAGCATCTCTCTGAGATGCTGAGCAATGGAGATGAAGTGGTAGATATCTCGAGACGACAGTTTCCTAAAACCTTGGGAAGGATTCTCTCCCTCCCCGATTACAACATTTCTCCTTTTGGCAGTCCTGGAAGGGACTTGGAGAATGGCTTTGTTACTGCACATATGAGATTATCCGCCTATGACAAAGTTTGGAAGGCCAATGAGAATACATGGTCTCCTAAGCAAGAGAAAAATGCCAGCCCTCTCAGTCATGTAGCACCCAACTTAGAGAGTCTGCCATCTGTTTCTGACAGCAACCCTGATTATAAAGTACAGCCTCCTAACTCAATACCAAGTAACTCAGATAATCTGGTTCATGATAATGAAGTAGAAGAAACCCATCCAACCATCGTAGATGAGATGAATCCTGAAGGTATTGATTCTTTCAGCTGTTCAATATTCAATGACAAACATTTTGATAAGTCCCTGCGCTTGTTTTTAAATTCTTTGATATTTAGCGTTTACAAAATTTCTGTAGGTGATTTAGAGATTGAAAAAGAAATTGAAATTGTAGCTCAGGAAGAAGAAATTATTGTGGATGTTCCCTCTGAACCAAGTGGCTCTTCAATTGCCAGAGATGACGAAACTGGTGACATGCCTGAAATTTCTGATGATAAAAGATATTCTGAATGCTCAAGACAGGTAACAATTTCTTACTTGTTTGTGCATATAATTTGTTTTCTTTTTGTACTCAAATTTTCATGACATGTAAAAAAATTGTGTTAAAATGATTTTCAATTTGAAAATCAACATAGATAATTAGAGGTGATACATTCCCTGCCTATGAAGGCCATGGGGTAATTCATTTTTTCCCAAAGCTAAGTCAGGCACTCACAAGAATGTTTTCGTCATACTCTTGCTAACACAGTAACCCAATAACTGAACTCTTTAAAAGAGTTTGGTTTACAAAAATTGGCTCATGCAAATAATATCTTATGGGACTATCGTCTATATCAACATGTAAAGATGATGGGATGAGCCGGGCAGGACCCAAGTATTATTCTTATGTCTATTTGCATTTTCTTTGGTGGATCTGCTGCTTATATCCATCATCTTTAGGGTTTATCCTGATAATCATTCTTACTCATCTTCCAGGAATCAAATGAAGAGAACCCAGTGCAATCTTCTTCATTAGCATCCCCTTCCAGCTCTTCAACCACCAAGCATTTTGAAGATTTAGAAAGGGCTATTGATATAGCAGAGCGGCCAAGCCCTGTTTCAGTTCTTGAGCCACTATTCACAGATGATGACATCAGCCCTGCAAAAACCATTTCTCGACGAGGTATGGTTCATTATAATACAAATTGATTTGGAATCTTTTTTTCATTTTTTTTCATTTTTTTTCATAGCGCTTCTTCATTAATGTTAACTCACTCACTGATTTGCAGTAGAGCTTCCAATACAACCACTACAGATCCAATTTGAAGATCATGACCCTTCAGCCACAGAGCAAAGTAATAATGCAAAAACTTGTACAGAAGACAAGGAAGTAATATTTGATTTTGTAAAGTCAGTGATGCAAGCCTACGGCTTCAATTGGGATGACATCTGTGTGAAGTGGCTGTCTTCTGACCAACTTATTGAGCCGTCATTGTGTGATGAGGTAGAGCTTTTCCCTAACCAGCTTTGCTATGACCAGAATCTCCTTTTTGACTGTATTAATGAAGTTCTAGTGGAGGTTTGTGGGCGTTGTTATGGTTGCTTCCCTTGGGTGTCATCTGTGAAACCTAGCATAAGGCTAGTACCAGACATGAAAACTGCTATACATGAGGTCTGGACAGGAGTTTATTGGCATCTCCTTCCGCTTCCATTGCCTCATACTTTGGATCAAATTGTCACAAAAGACATGTCAAGAACTGGAACGTGGATGGACCTTCGATTTGATATTGAGACCATCGGTGTTGACATGGGTGAAGCCATTCTCCAAGAATTGATGGAAGATACCATATTAAGCTATGTAGATGGTAGTCCCAAAAGTGAAAATGCTTTAGTTTTGGCCGAGTCAAATGAAAAAGATAGCATTTTGAACTTGTAAAACACAATCTGGCTTATTTGTCCATGCCGAAAACCAACCCACCTTCTTATTGAGGCAGTTGGAAAGCAAGTCATATATGTGCATCCAGAGAAGCAACATTTCACCAAGAGATCTTCTTAGCTTTCCTGGAGTATCCTGGATCCGAGATGAATTGGCTTTGCAACTTTGTCAACTGAAATCATGTAGGTAGCATAGAATCTGCCACATCGGAAAACTATGGCTCACTGGGAATTCTGGGCAACAGTCATCACATGAAACATCCTTAATGGATAGGGTTTGCAAATGCTCCTTGCAAGAACTCGGGCGCTTCTCCACAAATGGATTATACAAAACTGATAAGTACCATTTCTGAGAGTCATTGTCCATGTCAAGCACTGAGGCTGTAATGTAGAGTTGTTCTTATAAATGTAGATTCTTGTAGAGGGTTCGAGCTTTGTGTTAGTTGAGGGTGTTCTTGATTTCATTCATTCTTAACTGTGTTGTCTTGTTCTCTTCTTTCCTTTTTTTTCCCCTTTGTATTTTATGTTGTATTTGCAAAGGTTAGAGCTCAACGAGTTGTGAGTTTTGAGTCTGGTGACTGACTGGTTGTAATTACAAAGAAAATAAAAGAAGTTCATGTTAGGTTTATTATATGCACTGAACAAGCTGTGACTTTGATTCAATAAACTTGCACTTGGAAATGTGGAATATTTGTTCCTACCCCCTTTTCACAAGCTTTGATTTGTTGACTGAACATCTATAATTACAGATAAAAACTTGTATGAAGTTACCAGAACAACAGAACCAAAGCTCTAAAATTAACTTTTGACAAGGGTGAGATGGTTAACTTTCTTTGGTTACAAGTCAAGGTGAAAAGGTTACTTCTTCCTTTTCTTTCCCCCTAAAGATGGGGTCACCGGAGCTGCTGGTCTTATCTTCTCAAACGCTTTGGTTCTGCTGTCTAAATCTTCATTGTCGTCACCGTCATCTCTAGCAGCAGCGGATGCAGACTCCTCGGCAATTTTGGCAGCATTTCTTCTTCCAGCATCCAACTTCTTGTGTAATTTCCTTTCAAGGGGATCATCTGAAGGTGAAAATTTGGATGGCCAGGGAACTTTAGCACCTAGTCCAAGCCTGAGAAAACCAATAGAGAGTTCTGCAGAAAGTCAACAACGACACAATAACAGTAATATTGACAAATTAAAGATAATTATACTCCCTTCAGCCCAAAATAAATAAATATATAAACTTGCCTAGCAGGTGTACTCTGTATTTCAAAAGGCTCATCTTCTGCAGGTTCAGTCATGTTATTAACCCATTTTTTAGCCTGCATATTGGTAAATTTTCAAGCACAAACAAAGTTAGATTTTGAAAATCTAATATTAAGGCAGTGACATTGCAATGGCGGATAGTATTGTACTTAGACTCCATTGCACCACATTCATAAGGATTTTCGACAAGATTGCTGTAACATCAATCGCAGAAATAAATACTCTTTAAGTACAAGTTAAAGAGAGCCTGCATTGATGTAAATATTATTTATCTGTATCACCAGATAAAAGTCACATAATCTTTACATAGTTATCATATGGTGACACAATCAAATTTACAGCACTCTAGTTTGGTTTCAAATTAGTTCAAATTCCAACACCATAATTTTCCTCACTGTTGGTATGCTGCGGCAATTCACAATCCAATCGCAAATCATTCTTTTAGAACAACAGTTATATTTCAAGTTCATTCACTTGAATACACACACACACACACACACAAAGATAGCTCCTTCAAGAAACCTATCACTTCATATCATCATATCTCAAATGCTACTAGATGTTCATTGCAACAGTTCTAGCTATTCTAGGCCATATAGACCAGACTTGCTAGGAGTCCCTATAAATCAGTTTATTGTTCATAGCACAATGAAAGAAAACTAACAAAACTATCATACCAATTCCAAAGCTTCATCCAATTTAACTACTTGAGGACGATTCTTTTTCTGTTGCGTCTTGTTGGTGCTCATTGCAACTTCCTACACACAGACTGCAGAATACAGCAGAGTCTTAATGTGAAGACCCGTATTTTTAAAAGTATATGTATTAATAATTTGGGGATCAAATATTTTACTGCATATTTAGTTATATATTTAAATTGATTATATATATAAATTAATAACATGGATTAAGAGTTTAGACGTGGCATCCTTACATTGTTTTCTTGGAGAGAGAGAGTGTTCTCTCTTATCTTAATTTAGAAATATATTTGAACGTAGTTAGTATGCTGGAGGTGGCTTTTTCCATTAAATTAGTTATCAATTAGTCGATGCATTACCATGCATTTGGACAACTCATGCTTACAATTTGGTGACTAGGCTTTATCTTAGCTTGAGGTGGAGATTACAATTTCAATAGGTGTCACCACCCTTAGAAATAAAACTCCTGAGGCTGATACATAGCAGCTTATATAAAAGAGTGGCAACCAAGTTATCTGTTTGTGAGAGAGAGAAAGAGAGATGATGATGATGATGAAATTCTAGGAGGGCATATAGGCTTAGCTTGTGTTATCTTAACTTTGCGCAATGCTTTGGAATCGAGGTAGGGTTTTTTGGGGAGTCTTTTGTAGAGATTGATTTGATTAAATTTCATGAACATTATATTAATTATTATGCGTGGTATTACAGTTTGGTTGGTATTCTTTGTTATTGGGTGTTTACTTGTTATTAATTATTCAATCAAAGTTGGTGTGGTTATATTTTGATACATGAGATAAATGAAAGGCATAATTATTATCAGGTTATGGAAATTAATTGGAGTTCTTGGGTTGAGAAAATAATTATTGGAAAAGCTGGTAAAGGAAATGATATTTTGTGGAGTTGAGTCTAACTCTTGGTATGTACCAGGTCTCAGGGATCCCACAATGCACATGGTTTTTATTGGGTGATTTGGGACTGGCCACAAAGAGATAAGCAAGACGACTAACAAAAGGGGAATTTTGAGATAATTGAGATAAGTGTTGGTTCATATAAATGAGCACTCGAGACCAAGTGGTATAAGCATGGTATAGGACGTGCAAGTCTGCTTGTCCAAATATATGAATTAACGAGAATAGATGAAGAGCATACATACATTATTATTATTGATATGATATTTGACTGAGTGACTGCATGTCACTTAATTTAGTTATATTAATTTACTGTGAAAAGGTTCATGTCCCTACTGAGCTGTGGTTTCGTTCACCCCTTTATAGACGTTGCAGGTGTAAAACCCAAAAGACGGAGGATAGGCGAGCTAAAGTTGAATTAGATGAGAGTTATAGAACTTTATTCATTTATTGTACACTTGTAAGACTTTGGATTTATTTTTATAAGATGAGTAAATTTTAAAACCCATGTTTTACCTTTTTTGTTTTGTTTTTTTAATTTTTAATTTTATTTTCTCACACACCATGCGCAGAATTTCCACCTACCCCTCGTCTAGGCGTGACACTTAATCAAACTCAAACCAATATACTCCATTAACAACTAAATTAGCTAGCCCATGGATCATACCATGAAACACCAAATAGTATATATAAACACAAACATATCAACACCAGCTAAACAATTAAAGGGTTTTGATTGATCATATCTCATACTAGATTAAGAGGCCAACAGTAACCGCACAGATCAAAAGTTTAAAGCACAATAATTGAAGTAGGAAACAAAGGTAGGGTTTTGAAGAGCATAATCCCAGACAAGCTAGCTGTTGTGAAGCTCTGAATTTGGGTTTTGAGGAGGAACTGAGACCAAAGTTTTTTATGGCAATGGTGTACAAAAGGCGAAAACTTCAGGGCGAAACTGGTGAAAAACAGCCAGATAGAAATTAAGATTGCAAAGGCGTGGCTTTGAAAGGTTTGAGATTCCAAGAGAAGGAAAAGGATTTTTCAAAAACAGAGAGAGAGATTGATTCTTGTAAGTTTTCTTTTGTTGGGCTGCAACTGAAGAAGGACTTGGACTTCGATGACTTTGATTCCTATCCTAATGAAAACCACTCTTCTCACAGCAATGTATTTTTGTTGGTTCAAATAAGGCATGATAATTTTTTTTTGCTTAATAAAGAAAATTTTGAGACCATATGATAAAGATTTTTCTATACTGCAGTTAACTACACTTTTTTTGTTACACGCATCATCCTTTAATTTAAATATCAAAGATTCTTTGAGATGGACTTATAGTCCAAGTAATCAAGAGCACTTGAACGTATACCCAAGTCTATACTCGATTCCAACTTCCCTCAGTATCATTTGTACTAAAAAAAATTTATAAATTCTTTGAGACATGTCGATAATTTAGATAATAAGTTGGGATCTCTGATATGACTCTTTGTCGAAAAGGCTTGCCATACTTTAACTCAAATGTCTCTCTCATCATCATCAATTTCTTTGATGATGGAGTGGTTGAAACTTGGAAAGAAAAGTTTGACTACCTATGTATCTATATAATCTATTTGACTTCAATATGAGAGACTCGCACTGTAATGATTCTTTAGTTTACCAATGTTTGCTCCTTGAAGCTCATAACTTAAGCCCACAAAATAGTTTCATTGTTTTTATGTCAAATATTGCTGCGTAACTTATTCTATTTATGGGTAAGATCTCTTTTATGTGGAAGTGGAGTTGATGAATTTGGTGGGATCTACTATCCTTTGGTGTTGTGGAATCATGAGCGGTGATGTAGATATTGTGACTTTTTTTGAGATGTCAAGGTGAAATTTGCGTGAGTGGTAACTGGTTTTTGAGTTTTATGGATCATGTCATCTTCTATTCTGGGTGAGCTGGGATTTAAATACATTTGGAGCTCACTATTCTTGCACTAGTTGTATTTTATTGTGTATATTTTCCGTTTTCTTGTTTGCAAGAACCTTATTATGGAGCAGTGTTCTTCTTGTGTAATCTTGTAATTGCCTCTTATATTAATAAATCTACTACGTTCATATTCTAGATTTTCAATATAAAAAGTTATTGTGTGCATCTGATACACCACGTGACATGTTAATGCGGTATATGAAATTCACTCAAAGAATAAACACGTGTATCACGCTAAGTAATGGACAAGCATCAAATACACCCAATAACTTATCTTTTAATTTTTGTAATAATTTAGCTTATATAATAAAGGAGTTGGCAGTTGGATTCGAGTCCTAAATATCCGATCAGATAACTGATTGCTTAACTGAAACCACTGGCCCAACCTACCAAGGTCCAAAGTCCAAAGTCCAACCATAAAGCATTGGACAGCTTACACTGATGAATAGGCCATTTGCCCTCAAACTCAAAACCCCACCTTGTCACTTTCTGATTGGTTGTATTTATGCTTTGCTGCATATTCAAATATTCCCAGTGCAAAAGAGTGCCTCTGTAGCACTGATGGTTAGGTTAGAACGTGCAAAATGACCAAATTGTACAACTGAAACAGCATCAACACAAGTTCAAATAAATTTTGGGTGTTTTGAGTCTTTGACTTTGCGACCGTGATATATGAGATACACTTTTGACAACTAGTTTTAATTTTGGTGCGTGCAAATATCTGCCATATTTGGATAAAATTTTCCGCAAAGTCAGTGGGTGGAGTCACCAAACTTTTTATGGAGGGCTAAATATCTTAATTTGGGAGTCATTACGTGATTGTTTTTATTTTCTTGTTTCAAAATTGCCCATAACTACAAATATCTTAAAAGAGTACATCGAGCTATATGTAGGTTTGGGGACACCTAGCTCCATCACTGTATACAACACGTGTATTTTTTGTTTCGATCAATTATTATTCGCATTCATTCTTTTCACGTATTAGTCTCGATTACGTGATCAAGTATTAAAAAAGATAACTTAATTGGATACACTTGTAAAAAAAAACTATATGTGTTAAGTACTGTGCAATATTCAAATCCAACATCCCCAATATGTGTGTACATGCATGCATGCAGAACTTTGCATTGCACTTTAAGGGTAAGTTCTCATTCTAGAAAGGAGAAGGAAGTCTTAAAGGTTTTAGTCCTAATAGTGGAAGTATGCTAGAGATAATGGCATGCCTTTAAACAAATGCATGCATATCCAAAAATGGGCCATAGTTACTGAGGAGGGCATGGACAGCTACATCACTGCCTCAGAGTTGTATAGTGTCCTAGCTGATGGCTCAAACCTTCAAGATACTGTCCTTGGGAATAACTAAGTCCAAGATATAGTATATACTTTCTATCCTCTACCCTGAAAAAAGAAGTTGGTGGAACCCTATAAATAGAAAATTTTAGATGCATAGCACCTGATGAGAATGTTAAAAGTAATAAAATATACCAAATATTGCTTGAAATTGTCTTTTCTCTTTTAAGTTTGAAGCGGTTCATAAGTGTTTAACAACTCACTAAACGAATCAAATAACTCACTTGCCGGTCCTGATCAACCAATCCTTAAAAAACAGAAGTAAAATTACCATGAAAAAATGACATTAAATTATGAGGAATCAAATCCTAAAACATTAATGGGTTTGAATTTGCACATGCCACCCATAATTTCCCCTACCAATTTTACCCAGGAATGAGATGACCAATTCCCCTTTAAAAGCACAGAAAGACACACTTCATACCAACACTAAGAAATCTGATCCTGTTTAATTAGGGTATCCCAGTTTTATCCCCAATCTACCCCCACAAAAGTTGCCATTTTTCAGCTTTCTACCAAAATAAAAGAAGAAGAAAGAAGGGCCAAATCGGAAAGAAAATAGGAAAATACAGAAAATAATTTTATAATAATTTACTAGTCCCAGATCGCCCACCCTTGCCCTTTATTCTAACAGAGGAAGCAACAGAGGCATCATCGTCGTCATCAGCGAAGATTAAGAGTCAAAGTCCAAAAGCCCGAGAGAGAGCCTTCTTCAGTTCTTCTTCGCCTTCTCAATTCTCCCATTTGTTTCTCTAAAACCCATCTCTATCTCTTCGAAATCCCAAACCTTTCAAAGCCACGCTTGTGCAATCTCAAATCGTTGTATTTATTATTGTTTACAGTTTTGTCCGAAAGTCTTCGCCTTTTTTACACCATTGCCATAAAAAAAACCCTAGCCTCACTTGCCGCTGAAAACCCAATTCAAAGCTTCGCAATAGCTCTCTGTCTGAAAATTGGTATATTTTTTTCTTTCAAAACCCTAGCCAAATTTCCTGCTTCAATTTATGGTGCTTTTAATGTAAGATTCGATGATTTGGTGTGCGAATTTTATCTAGTGCCGTTGGGAATATAGCTGGATTTTAGGGCGCTGTGAATTTTGTAGGTTGAATAGCAGATTTGGTTGTGTTAGTGCTCAGGTTTGGTATCGCTAATTTTATTTTTGTTTGAAAGTTTGGCCCTTTATTTTTTATTTTTTATAGGCATTGAACTGATTGGAGCTTCCTGAGTGGTTTAGCTTTGGAGTTTAAATATTGGGAATTCTATTGCGTTTTAGATAACGTATTGCAGATCAAATTGATTTGGTTAAGTTCTGTTGCTTTTTCTACGTCGTATGAAAATTAGGGCATATATACATCTAAAAGATATGAACTGGAAAAAATTGGGTGTTGCGAATTATCAGGACACAAATTTTATTAGTTGTCCTAAGAGCTTAACGTTTTGTTTATGATATCAAATTTGGAAACTACTAGCTATTTATGTCTTTTATTTTAGTTTTGAATCCTCCCTGAGTAAATTTAATATTGTTTTAAACAATAGAGAATCAAACTTTCAGGCAATTCTTAGACACGATTTGCTTGAACATGCGTGTGTAAAATTATATATGTTAGTAGCTTCAGTAGAATAAATCCAGACTTGAGCAAAGTATCACTTTGTACCGGATTGGTTTAGCCCCAGAAACTTTAGAAGTCAAACTTTCAACATAAAATGTTGGATAGGTTTACAATAGATTGTAATAATAAATATAAAAACAAAGACGTTGCTTTACTTGAATCACACTTACTGGATGCTCCGTATTGGTTGTTTGTGAGAGCTGAAATCCTTTTGCTCCATACTCCATCCATCCTGTCTTGTTCCCCAAAAAGCAAGTTTTCGCTTGTATATTCTAGCATTGCGTATTGAAATTCATATGTTATGCATTCCATGCAATACATTTTAGGGTTACAAAAACTATATCCTGGTTACTAGCTAAATGTTTTGCCTGCTATCAATTTGCATTATGTAGCTCTTGATGTGTGCGTTATATTCATGAGGACTGGCTTCTGAATCCTTATGTGTTGCATATATTCTTATCTCAAACTGCTTTCAACTTAATTTGACTGTTACTTCTTCTGGTGATGGCTTTTGTCAGACTTCACAGGGCAACGATATTTTAACTAAGTTGTTTAGCTTGACAGCTTCTTGTAGCAGTTCAATGCTGGGGGCAGTATGCCGATGATAGTTGGGAGAAATGCAAAGGTATCATGCCACCGGCTGCACTAGTGCAGTTAATAACAACGCCATAGGTGGGACATCAGGGAGGGATTCTGTGCGAGCTGATTCAGCTGCATTGCCTGCTAACTTATCTCTAGCTTCGAGGTAATTAGGTTCCACAAGTATGTTGTATTACCTTTCATTTGTGGAGAAAATTTTTTTGATTTTTCCTCTGGGAATTGTTTTTATCTAAAATAGTCATCCTGCACTCCTTCCTCTCTGATTATAATTTATTATTATTATGGAGGAATGTAGGATTACCATTTTGGAGTGGCAATATCATCTCCATTTCCTTTTTTGGTCATATTGTAATTATAACTTAAATTATCTTTATTGTGTCATCACTTAGAGACTATTTTGGCTCACAATTTTGTAACTTCCAATATTTCCAAGATTATATTGACTCTATAATGGTTGTATTATGAAAGTGTTTCGTGGGGGAGTTATTCAATGTTTTGACTATTCTATTTATAAATTGAGTGTTTCCTCTGTCATAAAATGTGGCAAATTGTTCTTAATTGTGTAGGCGCACATCGCAGTTAAACCCTTACAAGTTGAAGTGCGAAAAAGACCCTTTGAACGGCCGGTAATTTTTGCAACTGATTATTGTCCTTTTGCTTAAAATATCTGTAAAGAAAAGAGGCTTTAAATATCTGTAGAGAAGAGACATTCATATGCCATTATAGTCTGGGTTTCTTTTGTTTTATTTCATTATCATACCGACCAAAAGAAAACAGGCGCATAAGTTGCTATAAGGTTTTACTGCTGGATTTATTAACTAATGTGTTATTTTTTAATATGTTATGTTTTTGTTATATTTTTTTGCATCATAAATCTATTTCTGCTGACTATGGTTCTTAGTTCAAAATACATATATTTTTTGTTTTTTGAAAAATCTTTTTTAATTTGTATAATCTCAGACTTGGGCCACCTGACTTTCACCCCCAAACTCCAAATTGCCCAGAGGAGACTCTTACCAGAGAATATGTGCAGTTTGGATACAGAGAGACTGTTGAAGGAATTGAGGTACTATTTTATAATCAAGTAATCTACAGAAATATTTTAATAGGCTCGTAAGAAAGACTATCAATCTGAAACACCCATGTAGTTCTTTCTTCATCCAAAAACATTGGAATAGAAATTTACTCCTAATAACCATTTGTGCACGTCCCTCTGCACTGTTCTGAAGAGTCTTGTTTCTTTTCTTTTATTTTATTTTCCAATCCATATCAAAGCATATTTTATCAAGGCCATCTTTTTTTTTTTTTATGGCCTGATCTTAATTTGGATTATCATATATCTTGTTAAGGTCTTTTGAGATTCAAATTTTTGTGGGTCCATCACAAGTGGGTTTTTATGATGACTTGGTGAATTTTCCAGGAATCTAGAGAGATATCGCTGAGCCAGGCTCAAGTGTTTAACAAGCCTCTCGTCTTCAGATGCAAAGAGGTAAATCACTTAATTTGTATAGTTATTAGGTAGATCTCCATTTTGGTTTAAATGTAAGAGTTCTTTTTACCTCTTTCTTTGGCTTTTAGTACTTTCCATTGAAAAGCATGAAGTAGATTATATGAATTTTAAGTTTTTTCCTACCTTTCAGGCCATAAAAAAACGTTTTAGGGCCATCAATGAATCTCGTGCTCAAAAGAGGAAGGTAGTTTATCCTTTCTCAACTATTTTTTGATGTTTGTGGAAATTCTTCTGCGTAAAACTTTTCGGTTTTTGTGGATGTTATATGATTGGTGTCGCATTATGGTGTATTATATGTTTAATTTTTTCCATGGCAGGCTGGTCAAGTGTACGGTGCCCCTCTTGCTGATACACTATTGTCCAAGCCAGGCATTTTTCCTGAACAGAGGCACCTCGGTGAAGACTTACGAAAAAAATGGATCGAGGTGTGCCTTTTGTGTTCTCAATTAAGCAGTTGTTTCTAATAATGGGAACCTAATTTTTGTATAAAAAGAGCAAAGCAGTAGCCATGCTGTCCTCTCCAATTGTCCATTTATGCTTGAGAAACTCTGAAACATAGAAACAGCTAGGCGCTATTGCCCCTTCAGTTGCTCTGTTAACTTGTGTAAATAGGAAACTTTGTGGTATGGTGACTGTGGTTCATCCCAAACATCTTAACATCATGCTGAGGGCAGCAAAATGAGGACCATATTTATTCTCATAAAAATGAGGACCACAGTTATTATTATATATTCCATGGCTTTCTGCAAAATGGCATAATTTTGAGTAATCTTGAGCTATTCGGGTATTCTGTAATTAGTTGTTTGGAATTTTATCCACATTGCCAAATATTGAGTGTTTAAGAGGAAAATCACTCTCAAACGATGAACTTGTCCAAAGTTTTCAAACAAAAAGGTACATCAAGTTGGTGAGTGAGAATTTGACAATGATGGAGAGGTATCCCTCAAAATATGAAGAAAATAGAAATGAAAGGAAGTCAGGAAGTCATCGTGCTAGTGGAGGGTCTACCTGTGAAATACTGGGTTGGGCATACCTAGAGGTTTAGGAATAACTGATAAGAAGTTCTGCTGTTGATAACTCATGCCATTTATTTCTTTATATGTTGATTATGTACTTTTTTTCCCATTCTGTTCCAGGGTCTATCACAACAACACAAGCGCTTGCGTTCGTTGGCTGATCATGTTCCTCACGGGTATAGGAAAAGATCCCTATTTGAAGTTCTTACAAGGAATAATGTTCCATTGCTGAGAGCAACTTGGTTTATTAAAGTAACTTATCTTAATCAGGTATATATGCTCGCACATTCATAACAGAACTGAGTTCTGATCTTAACCTGTTTGTCAATGCTTTTCATGTTGGAAGTTTCCAGTAGCATGTTATTGCTGCATTTTTTGCAGGTCAGGCCAGGTTCTGCCATTATTTCTTCTGGGGCACCTGATAAAGCTCAGTTGTCCCGCACAGAGCTCTGGACAAAAGATGTTATCGATTACCTGCAGTACCTTCTCGATGAGTTATTCTCGAGAAATAATTCGCATTCTACTTCACACAACAGAGATCGTTCGCCACAAACGCTTTATGCTGGGTCAGTTCCACAAAGGAGTGATTCAACATCAGCAGTCCTTGACGGTGAGGAGCCTTCCCTACATTTCAAGTGGTGGTATGTGGTGCGGCTCTTGCAATGGCATCATGCCGAGGGGCTGCTTCTTCCTACTCTTATTATTGAGTGGGTTCTTAGTCAACTGCAGGTATTAAATTTTTTTGTATGTTTATTGTTTAAAGACTATTTACCAATGTTGAAATTATCTTAATATGCTTCTAAACTAATATTTGTGCTCTTGCAGGAGAAAGAATTGCTTGAGATTATGCAGTTGCTCTTGCCTATTGTATATGGTGTTCTGGAAACTGTTGTTTTATCTCAAACATATGTGCGCAATCTTGTTGGGGTAGCTGTTCGTTTCATTCGCGAACCTTCTCAAGGAGGGTCAGATGTTGTGGATAACTCTCGTAGGGCATATACAGTGTCTACTGTGGTTGAGATGCTTCGTTATTTAATACTTGCTGTACCTGATACATTTGTAGCTTTGGACTGCTTTCCATTACCATCTTGTGTAGTCTCTTATATAGTAAATGATGGATTATCAAAGATGTCCGAGGATGTGAGAAAGATTGGAAATGGTTCGGCAGAAGTTGCTTCTGCGTTCAGAAGTAAAGGTTTTGATGCCCAATATCAGTCCTTGGCCTTTGATCATGTTGTTTCATCCATTCAGAAACGTGCTGACAATCTTGCAAAGGCTGCAAGCCCTAGTTATCCAGTCCATAGTATTGCTAAAGCTGTACAGGCCCTAGATAGATCTCTTGTTCAGGGAGATGTTCGAGGGGCTTATAGATTTCTGTTTGAAGATCCTTGTGATGGAGTCGCAAATGAAAGTTGGATCACAGGAGTTAGTCCATGCTTGAGAACATCGTTGAAGTGGATTGGGACTGCGAACTTGTCATTTGTTTGCTCTGTGTTTTTCCTTTGTGAATGGGCAACATGTGATTTCAGGGATTTTCGAACTGCCCCACCTTGTGAGCTGAAGTTTACCGGCAGAAAGGATTTTTCTCAGGTACATGTTGTAATTCAGCTTTTGAAACTCAAGATAAGAGATTTACAATGTTCACCTCAACGTAAGAATGACAGCTTCCTTGGAGTCGGTAGTGTTGCAAAAGGTTCCACCCAGCATAATAATTTTCCTGTCAGAATATCCATGGGAAATTCCTATGAAACTAAGAATAGATCAAAAAATGGCGATCAAAGAAGTACAAAATCGTCAAATATATTCGAGAGCCCAGGTCCTTTACATGATATTATAGTCTGTTGGATTGATCAACATGAAGCAGGAAAAGGAGAAGGTTTCAAGCGCCTTCAACTACTTGTAATTGAACTCATACGATCTGGTATTTTTCACCCCCATGCCTATGTTAGGCAGCTGATAGTTTGTGGAATTATGGATACGGATGGACCGGTGGTTGAAGTAGACAGACGGAAGAGGCATTATCGAATCTTGAAGCTGTTGCCTGGGCTCTTGATGCGTGATGCTTTGGAAGAAGCAGGGATTGCTGAAGAGCCTCAACTTTCAGAGGCTATGAACTTATACTCAACTGAGCGCCGCCTAATACTTCGTGGGCTTCTCTCTGATCAAAATAAAAATGCGAATATGATTGTGTCTGCTCTGAAGCAAAAGCATTTTCCTATCCCTGGAAAGGACGGTGCTTTGCCAGTTTCTGTTGATCAGTGGAAGGCGGTTCAGTCATCATCCAACATATTGTCTGTTAAAGGTGGCAAATCTGATGCTGATCTTGAAGAACTAAAGGAAGCAATCTCAGTTCTGTTGCAACTCCCAAATAGTTCATCCCCATCAACAGAAACAGGACTTGATGAATCCCAGGGGAGTGTGAAGAGGCCTTTTGGGTCAATTTATAATAAGATGGATCGGGGAGAAGGCACCCCTGGGTGTGAAGAATGCAAAAGGGCAAAGAGGCAAAAGGTGAGTGATGAAAGGAGCTCATACATCCAAGGAAATTCTCCAATTCCTTCTGACGATGAAGATACCTGGTGGATGAGGAAGAGACTTAAATCCTTGGAGCCAATGAAGGTTGATCCACCAGTTAAGTCAACCAAACAGGTGTCTAGGAATCGGCAGAAAATAGTTCGTAAAACTCAAAGTCTTGCTCAACTAGCAGCTGCTAGGATTGAGGGTAGCCAGGGGGCATCTACAAGCCATGTCTGCAATAATAAAGTAAGCTGTCCTCATCATAGAACTGGACTGGAGGGAGAAACTCCGAAGTCTACAGATCCAACCAAAGTGAGCCATGGTGGAGATATTGTTTCAATTGGAAAAGCTTTAAAGCGGCTACGATTTATGGAGAAGAGGACTATTACGGTTTGGTTGATGACTGTTATTAGGCAGCTTGTTGAAGATACTGAAAAGACTATTGCTAAGGTTGGCCAATTTGGTAGGACTTTCACTTCTGTTGATGATAGGAGCTCCATACGGTGGAAGCTCGGTGAAGATGAACTTTCTGCTGCACTGTATTTGATGGATGTTTCAAATGATTTAGTTTTAGCAGTCAAGTTTCTGCTTTGGTTGCTGCCAAAGGTTAGTAGCCCCAGTTCTACATTCCATAGTGGGAGAAACATTCTGCTGTTGCCGAAAAATGTTGAAAGCCAAGTGTGTGAAGTGGGGGAGGCATTTCTTATATCATCCCTTCGAAGGTGCACTTTCTATCTCTATAAATATGTTCAAAAATTTGTTGACAGTTCTGCTGCTTCTCTAATCACAATTTTACTTATCTATCCCTTGTTTGACAATATAATTAGGAGAAGAATGAAATGTACAGGGACTAATGAATTTTTTGTTCTCTCCTTTAACAAATACTATTATCATTTATGAGGTTGACTTTTGATTCTCTTGGAAGTAGGGAGACGTTGATTATAGTGGAGTTACAGTCTTGAGAGCACATTGCACAAACCACATTCAACATATTAAGATTAGTCTATCCCCTTTGTTAACTTTTTGTTTTGTTTTTGTTTTTTTTACAATTATTTGTTTCGCAAGTATAAGGCAGTGAGAACAAATTTGCTTTGTTCTCTTCAACTAAAATTGGGAAACTGTTCTTAGTATGTCACCTTGCAATTTGGTTAACTCTAGTTTAGAAACAGAGTCTTATTTATAGTGTATGAGATAGTTTCCCCGAACAGCAAACTCTCCTTCATCTTTTGGGAGTAGTCTGTTTCCTTCTTTAATAAACTTACATAAATTCATTGCATCGACAGACTCTTCTTGTCCAATTTAGTTCACAGTTGTATTGTTGCACACAATTGATAACCAGCATATACTAATTAGTCATGCTTGATTCTCATAAAGAAATTGCTGTTACTTTCATATATGATCTCTCCCCTCCACTTTTTTAATTGTCCACGACTACTTAATTGCTTTTCTCTTCATATTGGTACTTTCCTTGAGCATTTTTTTAGATCCTGTTGCATTTCCTGACAATGGATTTGGTTCAGGTATGAGAACATAGTTATTGCTACAGATCTTATTCCAGAAGTCTTGTCAGCTATAATGCACCGTGCTTCAGCAGTAGTGGCATCTAATGGAAGGCTTTCAGGGTCGCCTGCCTTAGCATACAGTCGGTATTTGTCGAAGCGATATAGTAATGTGGCTAGTGTCATTGAATGGGAGAAGAATTTCAAGGCAACATGTGATAAGAGACTTCTTTCTGAACTTGAGTCTGGACAATCAGTGGATGGAGAGTTGGGGTTTCCGCTTGGTGTTCCAGCAGGGGTTGAAGATCTTGATGATTTTTTCCGCCAAAAGATTAGTGGTGTCCGGTTGTCCAGGGCGGGTTTAAACATGAGAGAAATAGTGCAACGAAATGTGAATGTCGAGGATGCCTTTCATTATTTTTATGGCAAAGAGAGAAAACTCTTTGCTGCTGGTGCTCATAAAGGCCCTCCTGTTGAAAAATGGGATGATGGATATCAGATAGCTCAAAAAGTAATTACAGAACTGATGGACTGCATTCGGCAGACTGGTGGTGCTGCTCAAGAAGGGGACCCCTCTTTGGTGTCTTCTGCTGTTTCTGCTATTGTGGGTAATGTAGGACTAATTATAGCAAAAGTTTATGATTTTAGAGCAGGGGGTAGCTATTCAAGTTTTCCAGCTGCCACTGATTCCCTGAACTGTGCAAGGCGTATTTTGCGCATCCATATAAGTTGCCTATGCCTCCTTAAGGAAGCTCTTGGAGAGCGCCAAACCCGTGTATTTGAGGTAGCTCTTGCGACAGAAGCTTGTTCTGCTCTTGCTGGGGTTTTTTCTCCTGGAAAGGCATCTCGAAATCAATATCAGTCATCTCCTGAATCCCATGATTCCAACACTAATGCTTCTAATGATATTTTGAACAGTTCTACAAAAATTGGTCTTGGGAGAACAACAAAAGTTGCAGCTGCAGTTTCTGCGCTAATTATTGGGGCAGTTGCTCAAGGGGTTACTAGCCTGGAGAGATTGGTGACTGTATTCAAGTTAAAGGAAAGGTTGGATATAATTCAGTTTGTAAGGAGTAGTAGATCCAACTCTAATGGTAATGCTCGGTCTTCTGGGGCATTTAAGGGGGATATCTCGCTTGAAGTTTATGTGCATTGGTTTAGACTGCTTGTCGGAAACTGCAGAACTGTTTCTGATGGATTGGTTGTGGAACTCTTGGGTGAACCCACTGTGATAGCTCTTTCAAGGATGCAGCGTATGCTCCCCCTTGGTTTGGTCTTTCCACCGGCCTATTCAATATTTGCTTTTGTTGTATGGCGGCCATTCCTTCTTAACACTAGCATTGCGGCCCGGGAGGATTTTAATCAATTATATCAATCTTTAACAACAGCTATAGGTGATGCTGTAAAGCACTCGCCTTTTCGTGATGTGTGTTTGAGAGATAGTCAGGGTTTCTATGATCTCGTAGCTGCAGATGGCAGTGATGCTGAATTTGCAGCTATACTAGAGTTGAATGGTTCAGACATGCTTTTAAAATCCACGGCTTTTGTTCCGTTGCGTGCAAGGCTGTTTCTAAATGCTATCATGGATTGTAAGATGCCAGAGTCTTTATTTATGCAGTGTGAAGGAAATCAGGTTTCTGGACATGGCGAATCGAAGGTTCAATATGCAGAACGTGAAACAAAGCTTGTAGATAAGCTTGTACATATCTTAGATACCCTGCAACCTGCAAAATTTCATTGGCAGTGGGTAGAGCTCAGGCTCCTCTTGAACGAACAAGCACTCATTGAAAAGCTTGAGACTCAGGATATGTCCTTAGTGGATGCCATTCGTTCGTCCTCCCCTAGTCCTGAAAAGGCTGCTGCCTCTGAGAATGAGAAATATTTCATTGAAATCATCCTTACGAGATTATTGGTTAGACCTGATGCTGCACCTCTTTTCTCAGATGTGGTTCATCTTTTCGGGAGGTCACTAGCAGATTCTATGTTGTTGCAGGTGAAGTGGTTCTTGGGTGGGTCAGATGTTCTTTTTGGACGAAAAACCATTAGACAACGTCTTCTCAATATTGCTGAGAGTAAAGGTCTCTCAACTAAGACCCAGTTTTGGAAGCCTTGGGGATGGTGTAGTTATGGTTTTGATCCTGTGACAAACAGGGGAGATAAGAAGAAGTTTGAAGTCACCTCCCTTGAAGAGGGTGAGATGGTTGAAGAGGGAATAGATTCAAAAAAGTACGGGAAAGGGCTCACTCCAACATATGATATTGAAAGCTACAATGTCACCCAGCAGCGTGTGACAGAGAGGGCTCTCATTGAATTACTTCTTCCTTGTATAGATCAAAGCTCCGATGACTCGCGCAATACCTTTGCGAATGATTTGATCAAGCAGTTGAGTAATATTGAGGTACATATTAGTGCAGTTACTCGTGGGACAAATAAGCAAGCAGGGCCAGCTCCTTCTGGCGTTGAAGGTCCCACAAGCAAAGGAAATAATCGCAAAGGTATAAGGGGTGGGAGTCCTGGGTTAGCTAGACGTGCAACAGTAGCAGCAGATTCTGCTCCACCATCCCCTGCAGCTTTGCGAGCTTCTATGTCGCTGCGATTGCAGTTACTCTTAAGATTGCTTCCTATCATTTGTGCAGACAGGTAATTCTACAGGTTTTTTTGGTTGAAATATTGTACTTATTTTGTTAGCATGAGAATTTGCTTGTTTTTCTTGGATTACTAGTTGCCTGTATCTCCATCACTGCTGATTCGTTTCAACATTATTTTTACATACACCTGTTTATTTGATTACATATATATTTGTGATTTGAGAGTTGAGAGCCAGTTAAGGTGTAATGCATCAATCAGTTAATTTAATTTATTTCTACCATAGTCTCAATCTCTGTCTAACTACCCCAGTTGAACTGTGTACTTAGCATTCTTTTTTGATGCATTTTGTCTTTGGTTGTTGTGTAAAGATGTAAGCAGATGGGAATTTTGATTATATTGATGCACCGACATATATGTGGGTGCATCTGGTGGTAAAAAAAGGGTGACATTTCTGTTTGGATTATTTTGATCTGAACTATTTAATTTGAAGACTTTCTTTTCATGTTCTAGGAAAGAGATCCTTGAATCTCTGTCCGGATCTATGTAAGTTAACTTGGAGTTCACTTGTGATGCAATGTCCTCTCTCTGTTTTTTTTTTTTTTTTTTTGGGTGTGTGATTTCAGTCAATACTCTATCCTTCAAACGGATGGAACTTGGACACATGATCATCACTTGAATTTTTTTTTCTTCTAAATTTTATTGATTTGTACTGTAACCTCCTGGAATCCAACTTATTGTAAAATAAGATATAAAACTAAAAGGAATATCAACCTGTTGACTATATAATGAAAAATGAGTAGCATGAAATTTTCTTTCCTCTGCCATTTATAATTTTATATCGCAGCAATTTTTTTTGTATATTTTCAGGCACTCCACTTGTTGCTACTCTTGGTTATTTTAACCTAAATACATTCCTTTTGTAAGATACTAAGATATGCTTCTGAAATACTGGCTTGGATTTCTGTTACCTTTTCAACATCTGTATGTTGTATGTTTAGTGATATGTGTTGCACATGATAAAAAAATGTTGAAGATGTTCATAGCAAGGCCATTCTGTCCTGTTAAAACGTTTCAGCAGATCGGCAATTGACTAATTTGAACATATTGGAATTGTCAGGGAGCCATCTGGGCGAAACATGAGGCATGCGCTAGCCTCTGTAGTACTACGTCTTCTAGGAAACCGAGTTGTGAACGAGGATGCAGAGCTATGCGTCAATCTCATGCAGAGTTCTTTTTCCAAGAGGGAGGCAGAGTCTTCAACAGAGGCTGCCTCTGCTGCTTTTGCAGACTTGTCAAGTGAAAGTCTCTTTGATCAGTTACTGTTGGTTCTGCATGGGCTGTTAAGCAGTTGCCAGCCAAGTTGGTTGAGGCCTACTAAGTCAACAAATGAGAGTGGAAAAGATTTTGCTGCATTTGATCGTGAAATGGCAGACCATTTACAGGTTCGGTCTTTGTAACCTTCATATCCTTCATCCCTACCCTGTCCTAAAAAAATAAAATAATAGGAAAGAAAAGAAAGGAGGGAAAGCAAAGTCCTAAAGTGCTGCTTTTTTTTTTTGGGATGTAGTGGCGGTGCAATGTTATAAGCTATGTAACAAATTCCTTGTAACCATTCTATAACATTCCCTGCACTCCAGCAAAGGAAAAAACGCTATGGACCTATAGTCCTAGTTCCAAATTGCTACCATCAGTTTCAGTAAGAAATTTATTGTTTGGAAGTCCTCTCCTCACTTTAAAATATTGTGTCAACTGATGTATATTACATTATATGGTACATTCCATGCCATTTAGCATGAATGTAGGGTGTGTTGGGATTGCCAACAAAATTAATTAAGCTCAAATACACTTATTGCTGGGTACCTTTTCTCCTTTAATTGTGCCTGATTCAATATTAGTTGAGGTTTTTAATGGAGCCTTCATTTGCTAAATTTGGTTAAAAATTTCAGTAAAGAGGTAAATGGTTTTCTACTTGTCTTGTGTATGCAGAATGACTTGGATCGCATGCAACTGCCGGAAAGGATTCGCTGGCGTATTCAAACTGCAATGCCTGTAGTTGTCCCTTCTATTCGGTGCTTTGTCTCTTGCCAACCACCACCTGTTCCGAATACTGCTTTGGCTGTTCTTCAAACCAGCATATCGACTCCTGGGTTTTATTCTGGAATCTCAAACCCACCTCAGAGAAATCAGGTTCCTCTGGCACGAACTGTAGCTAACATACCAGGGAAGTCTAAATCATTGCCGTCACAGGATTATGATATGGATATTGATCCATGGACGCTGCTGGAAGATGGTGCGGGATCAGGCCCATCTTCAAGTAACAGTGCTTTGATAGGCAGTGCAGACCATGGAAATCTTCAAGCATCTAGCTGGCTTAAAGGGGCTGTAAGGGTGAGACGAAAGGATCTCACATACATTGGTGCGGTGGATGATGACAGCTGAGTTTAAAAGTTAACTTCGTTGTTATTTCCGTCTGGAGTGCCCCCTCAGCAGGTAACTTCATGTTTACGATCATTGTGCATAATTGGTATCAGGATCACCCTTGTTGTGCGGGTCCTTTTCTTTTATGACGGAGAAGGTGGTGAGAGGGAATTTTTTTGGTGGGGTGCGTGGGGTCTTTTTGGAAGAAATGTGAAGATGTTCTCGCGCAGTCCATACAGCCGGTGCTTGTGCCTGATTGACTACTGACCCTTTGATCTCCCCTCATCCAACTGTGCACCTCTGCATGCTGTTCGGAGGTCTGTTGTATATAGAGATATTTTGTTCACTTTACCAATTGATCTGAGTAAGATATCTCCAGAATGATATGTAGCTGTTTCTTTATAATCAATTTATACTTTCTACTCTCTCTCTCTCTCTCTCTCTCTCTCTCTCTCTCTCTCTCTCTCACACACACACACACACACACACACACACACAAACTCACACATGCATTTACACGTGTGCGCGTACACACATGCATTCATATTTGCATATGTATTTAAATGTGTACATCTTATTTCATACATTGCACTTGTATTAAAAAAAAAAATTATGAGCACTTTTATTGATAATTATAGACACATTTCCATTTATTATGTTGTGTGAAAAGTGGTCCGTTTGTAAATGAAAGCACATAACGTTGGCTCTGATTGGTTAAATTTAGTCGCTGGTAAAGGAATGGAGAGCACCACAATGTTAGAAAAGATGGGCAGAAAAATACTACACATCACTGCTGTAGTTTTTTGCTCATGTACTTACTGAACAAATTGCCTTTAGGAATGGCTGAAGGTTTATGGGATCTTTGGTCCATGTCTAATCTGGTCTGATTGAAAACAAAGTGTCTTATGACTTCGCTTGGGAGATCATGTAGTACGATTCTCCAAATCCACTTCAGTTTTTGTCTGTCAAAAAATCGAAGCGCACAATATGGAGTTGATTTTCAGTTGGTAGTGGACATGCATCAATTTCATTGTTATTAGTATTATTGGATGGATGCTCGTACATTCTAAGGAAACTGGTCTTCAAGGAAAGCATATGGCCTGTGGAGAGTCGATATTTGTAATTGGTGATTTCCCAATGGCTCTCAATGGAAGTTCAGGGTTGCAATGATACTCTGGTGGTTTTGTATATGCCTATTTTGATATGATCTTTACTGATTTCGGAGGAACATTACTTTAGCATTTGAATTTGTTACGGTCGTGAGTATAGAATGTTCTTGTGCGATGCGTCTGGGAGGAATGGATGTCATGTTTTGCTTAGCGTCTTTGACTTGCAGAGCAATGATCCAATGCTTAGCGTTTTGGTGCATCTCAATGCAATTAATTCTGTGGCAAATTTGCACTTAAAAGAGTATTTACTTGGAGGGAAAAACAAACCAAGGGGTCGCATTGCAACCACTACATTTGAGATTTTAATGTAACTGGAATTATCCTATCGTTAACAATCTCTGAATTCTCCTGAATTCCCATGATAATAAACGCATTGGTCATAACCATTGGTCATTTGATTTAATTATAAAGACTATCTAGACAAGGGTTAAAACTCTATAGTCTTAACATCCAAGTTCACTATTTGCAACAGTGGAAACTCATGGAACTAACTATTTTGTTGAGAAAGATAAACTAAGGATAAAGGAAAAATCGGCATTAAAGATTAGTTAAGGACCTCTAATCTTAGTTATTTGGTCGTATGTATGGTATATGTTAAAAAAATATTTAACCCATCAACATATCTAATCTTAGAAGTCCTTAACAAAATTCCGTACTAGAAAAGCTACCAAGGATGAAATGTAGTAGAATTCTATAGTGACGGCTTTATCTAATTTGAGGATTTAATGAAGAAATGTAAGCAGAGGGTCATTTTGCAAATATTGGGGATTGTTACCCCACATTCTGACGGGGCTGGGGGAACTTGGGATGGGCTTGTTTTTTGTGTTTTCATTCAAGCTTGATTAATTTGAGGATTTAATTTAAGATCTGAATATAAATTCTGGAACACTTCAAATTTTCTCATTTGTTTTACTAGGAGCTAAATGTACAACTAACAAATTAGCTTCATACAAGTAAACAAGCAGCCAAAGTAAAAATGTCTCAAAATTGTTGAACGAAAATGCTGGAGAAGAAAGCTTGAACTTAGTTGCAGTCCCTAATTATTTGCCTTGGTTTCTCACAGATCTTTCAACACAAATTACATCTTCAATCCAAGCAACAATGTTGAATGCCAAACTTTCCAACACCCTTGAGTAGCTCTCCAGCACTGCTTGCCCCACATCCTGCAAAAAACAACCATAAAAAACGCTTTCTTCAGATCAACTCTGACACTTTCTTTGATCAAATTTAGACGAAATGTAAATGCCGATAGTTTTTTTGCTTTGAGGTTTCGATTAGTTACTCTATAATATGCTAGAGCCATTAAATTTTATTTCCAACTGATGTGGTAGTGTGTCATTTCTTCAAATTCGAGTCACGACCACGAAATGTGCTTACCCTATTGTATTGGATCTTGCATGTATCCAAGGATGTCTGAGAGAGCTCAGGATATCTCTGCTTCAAGCAGAACAACAAACACTCGGCTCTCTCTGCCAAAATATGGTTTTTGTCGCTCCTGTCTGTTTCCGACATTAGATCCTTCACCATGACCCATGAAGATTTTGAATTGCTCATGCATGCTTTACGTCTCCATGTGTACATTGAAGCTTCAACCCTGTCTGCAAGCTCAAGTGCTTCATGTTCAGTTGCTAGATTGAGGCAGTCGAGAAGATGTTCTGGGGAGAACTTGCCTGTGGTGCACATGTAGCGGTAAATGGAATCCCCCAGACACGATTTTCCACTCTGCACACCCAATTGTTTTGTAAAAACACCAAGTTAGATGAAAAAACTTCTATCACCATACCAAACCAAAACGATAAAACTACTAAAACTAATTTTATTTTTTTTTAATGAAACAAACCAAACCAAGTTAGATAAAAGTACTTTTCTGCATTAATTTTAGCCTAAAGTTGAATCTCAACTCCAAGGAAAAAGGTCTATTGTTCGTTTCAACCCCCGAAATTTCGGGGTTGGCCTTGGATCTAAGAAGGCTAAGGATTTAAGAAGCATAACAAAATTCATGTTGGTTGGTTGAAGACTACCTTGGGAAGAGTTGACATGTATGAGTCTGGAATTTCCATCTCAGCAAGAATGCTGCTATTGATTGCCATGGCTGCTTTGTGGATTTGATTAGAAGAGTCACGTTTGTGTTTCAAATGCTTCCTTGACTTCTCAGAGAGGCCACCTGGAGGAACACATGGAATTGGCAACCACCATTTCTCCTCATTCCGCTGAACAATAACCCTTCGGAACGATCCTGAACCTGAACGGTTTGAGTTTGACGACATGCTCCCTTCTTCTGCATACCAGAATTCTGTATCTTGGAAACTATCAAGTACTTCCTGCCAAAAGAAAAAACAAATTCATAACTTGTTTAGGCCTTGATTGAAACAGAATTGCTTTGTTTCAAGAAAAAAAACTTAGCACATTAAACTGGCCTTACAATAAGCATTGCATCAAGCTTTTGCAAAGCTGGAAGGTTGATATAGAGATCAGATCTCGGTCTGCTTGTCATCAACTGAAAGAACAACATGCAAAATGTCAAAAACAGACTCCGGTAGCAGAAACTAATTGAGCTTTTTGTCATGGATTTTTGACAGTCACCTCCATTTCTGTCCCATCTTGCAAATTTTGGGATATGGGGATGAGTTCTACTATGTAATCACAAACTGATAACAGGCAATTCATTTCCCTCTTCCACATTGCTTTCTTCTCAGGGTTCAAGGGCTCTAGCCTCAAATTTTGCCCAAACACAGTGGCTGCAGAAGAAAATCCCAACAAAATGACTCATTGATATTGAAATAAAAAACAACAAATTGACCTCTAAACAATCTTAAAAATTTCAGAAAATATAATTACCATAGAGGTTGGTTATCGAATTTGAGATCGTAACCGCGGTGCACACCCCTTTCCCACTTCCTGACATGTCCTCACCCAACAAGAGTTTTGCAAATCGTTCTTTCATCATCTCAAGCTCTGCCAACATTCATATCAAAGTTATTTGGCCAATTCATACTGCTTTTAAATTGTTTCTTGATGAGTCAAAGAGATTGTTGAGAAACAAAACTATTGAAACCCACCTGCATCTACTGCTTCATGATCTTCAAGCTTATCATCTGTGGCATTCTTGTTGTGCTGCTTCATTCCTAGTCTGGTAAGAGCAACCTGGTTATGAAATCTGGTTTTCACGTTTGGGCAGAACCAAGGGGATGCTTCACCAGAGTAGCTGGTGTCGTCTACAGACTCAGAGAAAGCTGAGGTCTCTGAATTCGTCCGGCGGTACATAAAGGAATCACCACTTGTTGAAGTTTCTGCCAGTGAGTGATCATTCTGATCCACAGAAGAAGGTGAAGGATGATATCCCAGATCATAGCTTTCATCAGAATTTGATAAATTGTCCATTGGAGCCTTCAAAACTCGTGTTCTAAATTCTAATTGCTCAAAACCCTGCACATACTCAACCATTTAAGTGTTACCATTTGGGACTTGGGTTAATGTTAGAACTCAAATCCAAAAAAAAGACCCGGGAATTGGTTTATATTCTACCATCTAGAATCTTAGATTTAGAAGACAAATGAACAAAAAAGGAATAAAAAAGCATGCATCTTCTTCTTCTTTGAAGCAAAAAGCAAAAGAGGTTTATGATAGGTTGTTTTCATCAGCAGGCTAAAATAATTGACTGAGTATGCAGCTAAAATTTAAAGCAAAAAAGCAAGGTTGGAAAATATTTCTTGGGGTGAAAGGCAAACCAACAGAAATTTTAAATTTTAAAGGGAAACGGTTAATTGAAAAAGCAACGGTATATTGAACAGTATTTATGTTACCTTTAAAGAGCATAGATTTTTGAATTTGAACTATTGAAGGTGGCTGAAGAAGACCGTTTGAAGCAGTTCCCTCCTAAGCAAATGCCTTTGCCTTTGATCGCCAAACACTTTTCTTCTTTCTAAAAGAAAAGTTTTCCCAGAAATTAAGTACTCACATCACCATGATCATGGAAATGAACATTTTCAGCCGTCTGATCGTCCCATGCTAGAGTTACGAAATTAAACAGCACAAACAAACCCAGAAGCAAAAATGGCTGAATTCTTCGACTTGGAGAAAAAAATGGTTTGGTGCTCGAAAAATTATACCAGACATGTAGACTGCATCTTAGTTGGACTTGAACATGTATATATGGTAATGGTTCTGCAGGGTGTATTATATGATTCTATTATATATAGTTTAAGATGAAAATAATTGGGCAACGGCTTTGGATATTAAATTATAAATTGTAACTACAAAAAAAGAAAGATAAATTGGCCTCAGTTATCTCCATCACCTAAGTTAACTCTGTTAAATCTCTATCAAGCCTCGATTACCTCCACCAACCTTAAAAGCATCTGTCATGCCCTAATTGCCTCCATCGGCCTTGTTTTAAGTCGTTTGATTATTATTTTTGCGTATTCTTATTCTTAAGTGACATGTTCGGTGCTTGGCGCCCTAAGAAATACAAATTGATTTAGTCTTCACACCTCTAAATTAACAATGTTCATCTAATTTTGAGAGGAAGGTGAAAATTCCGTTGCTACTATCTCGTTGGACCGAAAAAGAAATAAATTAAAAATGAGTAGAACGTGGGGATCTCAGTTGCATGTTTGTGAATTTAATATGAAATATTAGTTAGTCTGGTCGGAGGTTAGATTGGAAAGCATGTGTAGAACTTATACATTAATCCCACGAGAAAAATAAATCTCTTCCTAACTCTGTATTATTGGTGAAAATTAAATAATAATAAAAAGACTTGGAAAGAATTTAAAGCAAAATTCAGCTTCTGATAGCTTTTGAAAGACGTGCGTCCCATTTGTCACTTAGCTTCTTATAACTTGGTCATCATGGTTCGTGCTTAGATGGGTGATAAGGTTGACATCGAATAATTATTAAGAATTTTCTATAATTATATTTAAATTTTAAGGTCAAACGTTTTTTTTCCCCCATAATTATCAATGCATGAACCTCACTATATGCTATAAAGCCATTATCTTATACTATTTTGTAAAGAAAAAACGAGTAGCCAATGAGATCTAACTCAGTAGAAAAGGGTTTTCTTAATTTTCAGAATAGATGTTTCAAGTTTGAACCCATATGACATCTTGGTTTTGTGTGTGTGAGAAACCTCCTCCCCTGTAATTTAGATTATCGCTTATACTAAAAAACAAGACATAAATGTAATGAAATTAAAATGTGTCATTATAGAATGTAACACCAACACACAACCCCGCACCCAAAAAAGAAAATTAAGGTGCAATCAAAATGTTCCAAGTTGACCTTCTCTGACCCAAAAATAAAAATAAAAATACATAATGCGCCTTCTAGGTCGTAATATAGCCATGATTTCCTTATGATCCTCTACTTATGCTTGTGCTTATTTTTAGAATCCGTTTTATGACAAAACAAGAATCTCCACCATAAAATTCTCCATAGGCTGGCAATGCTCATACGGATTGATCCTCTTGGTTTAGTTTTGTCCTCTGCCAAAAATTCCCTTGTCTCTATCACATGCGCTTCTTTCTGCATAGCACAATCATCATGCCATATATTTAGCATTGTATATATATATATATATATATTTTTTTTTTGACAAATTATATATTAATAGGAACTATACACCCATATTTAGATATTAAACTCTTGAACCCACACTCTAACAATATGTTTAAGAGGGGAAGAAGTGCAATATTAAGCATGGGAAATGTTATCTTTTTAGACAGTCTAACATGTTATGTTGTTAAATTATGAATTAGAATCGTTGATTGTAAAGTCCGGTTTGAATATGAGATTCTATCAATTCACGGACAACATAATATGCTAGATATTTTATAGTAAGAGAACATGACCCTATAAACATACTTACATTTGTGATAAATCGAAACCCAATCTTTATCTCTCCTTTATAGGTGTCATCTTCAAGCACCACATTGTACGGAGCTGGTTTTAATTCAATGAATCCTCTGTCCTTCCCCTCAGTAATTATTCCACCCAGATGAACTCTGCATAACAGAACCAAAGCACATTCCTTCAAAGGCTAATTATTATTAGGAAAAATAAAACATTAATAATTAGCAGAATATGAGATCTATATGAATACGATGTAAATAAATTTAAAAAAAAAAATACTCCCAAAAAAAAAAAAAAAAAAAAGACAAGAAGGCATAAAATAAATACATGGTTTCACCAACAAATCCAGCATCTCTGAACAACTCGGTGTCCATAATTCTGAATTTGAGATGAGTTAAGTTTTTCCAATCTGACAATGGAAATTCAAACGTGAATTTTTCATTCCAGCTAATTTTGTCATCTTCGCCTGCATCACACAACCCATTTAGCTAGCACTAGGATAGCCTAAGAATGATATGCTTAGCATGTCTGAATAAATTGGGAGTTCAGATTAGAGAAGGAACCAAGTAAACATACTTGATGATTCTTTGCTTCGATAGTCTCGAGTGCCACACTCTATGATCACGTAGTAGGATGCTCTACCTATAACAGTAATTGAGTGCAATTTTTATGATCTTTTTTAAATAATAATTGAGATATACTGTTGTATGATAAGTCTCAACGTAGAAAAAACTTGTTCTTTTAGACGAGAGGATCTGATGTGTTACCGGACTATATCTCCTTGAGTTGCGTCTACATACCTCACTACATGACCTAGTCACGTGGCGAGTGTAGACTCAAGGGGATATATTATGTACTCACAGTTGTAGGTAAGATTTGTGTGCAACGAATTTTACTAGGAATAGGCTTACCAAGAAGATTTGTGTGCCTAATGCCTTCAGCATCTACAAGAAGTACTTCAAGGGTTCCTCCTGTCATGTATGTTTGCATGTGGGCATGCACTCATTTGATGGGAAGGGTCAAATATATTTATGCTAAAATATAACGATAGGTAACTCACTAATTGACCGAGCGTTTTAAGGTGTATTATATTAGAGGGTGTTTTATTTTAATGAGTTACTAGCCTCTTGCGCGCAATGGATTTTTTATTAATCACACATAATACACGCGATTCTATAAATTATTATTTTTTCGCAGTTGTATTTTGATAAATGCACGTCTCAAAAGGTTATTTATTTTTAGATTGGACATAGTGCGTGTAATTAATAAAAGGTCTCTTCACTCGCATGAGAGGCTAGTCTAATGAATTTTAGGAGTTAAGGTAATTCATATTGAAAACAGAAGTAAATATGGAATTGGCAAAAAAGACTATAACGACAGACAATTCACTAATTAAATGGGCGTTTTAAGGTGTAAATAGAGAGTGTTTTGTTTTAATGAGTTATAGACGTTCATGTCAGGTCTTCCACAACAAAAAAACGGCATGTCGTTTTCACAAAGACATGTAAAGTTGCAAGTAGGGGTGTAAAACCCTATCAAGTTTTATGGGCTTTGCCCGACTTGAGCTCATTACAGGCCTGAGCCCAACACGGCCCAATCAAAAATTTCTTTTTTCCTTTAAAAAAAAAAAAAAAGAAGAATTGCTAGAACACTTCTTCATTTTAATTATGAGCAAAAAAAATAAAAAACATTGTGGCCTCCTAGTGGGATTTGCATATTTGGTGTAAGTTAAAGGTGTGTGTTAAAACAAGGTCTATACATTGAACACTTCTTTGACAATGAAATGTGATGATGGTGTAGTTTCCAAATTGGAAAAAAAGAAAAATAAAAGACAAAACGCACTATCTATCTAATACCTAAAAGTGTCTTACTTTGTGCAGATTGTTTATTGTATATTGTCTAAAGCTCATCATGGTTTCATGGAAAGAAAACTGGTCCAAAAGATATTGGCAATGTTAGCTGGTAATCATTCTAGTTTATCCTTGCTTTTATTGGTGCAAAAGATATTGGCAATGACAAGTAAAACAAAAGATATTGAGAGATTGGCAATGATATGGAGATTTACTTGGCAATGAGTTGATATGGAGAGAATAACGGCACCTGGTAAACATTGTGGCCTCTTTGTTTCTTTTTTTGTTGTTGTTGGATTGATATGGAAAGAATCAAGCACAACTCAAAAGATGGCTAAAATCCCAATTCAACAACGAGAAGTAAATCTAATCAAACCTGCGTTATAGATTGGCCGTGCGACCGCAAATCCATATCGAAAGTCAAAAATTAAGAGGGATAAAATATCCTAAAGAGAAAACAAAGCACAATAAAATCCTAAAGAGTTTTTAAAAATTATTAAACGAAAATAAACTAAGAAGTAGGACCACAGCTCCATATCCTCCTAAGCAACCCGAAGAGAGTCATAGCATCATATCTGCTAAATCCATAGTGCCATACCGGCTAAACTTGAACTCGATGAAACCCAACATCTTCCGCGCTTTGCAGCTCCAAACCCAGGTCGAAGGCTAATAATTGGAGCCAAATCCTTATGTACATGGGCCAAAAGATCTTAGGTGTAAAAGTGACGACTTTTAACCACTTAAGCTATAAGCCGCTTACTCCATATTAATTTTTAAACTAATCACTAATTACTAGCCATCATGGGGTTGCTTTCGCTTGCACAAATCACTGGAAGGGAACCAAGGGACAATATATATGTGGCATGCCTTTTTGCGGCTTTTCCTCTGTGGAAAGCTATAGTGGCAAACATGCCATAATACTTTATGAACATAAATGTTTCACATGATAATGATTTCCATTAATTCTTCTAAAACCCAGAGGAGGTTTCACATGATGTTCTACTTCTACACTTCTGCATATGCTTGCTGGTCAAAATCGTTTTCCAGGAAAAAAAAAAATATATATATATATATATATATATAAAGGATTTTTAAGAAAAACCCCAGAAGCCATGCATAACATGCTATAACAGAATTTAAGAAAGTCCATATGCATGACCTGGATACCTACCTACAGCCTGTCTTGGCTCCAAGTAACTGCAAATTAAATTATTTAATCAGCTTCCTTCAATTGACTTATTTATGATTGCTTCACATAAAAACAAGAATTCATACTTTAATTGCAAGTTTTAATAGTCAAACATGTTATATGGTTGATTTTTGCTCATGATTTATAACTAAAGTCTGATACATTATTCCCAATGGAGTCTAGCCCAGTGAAAAAGAGCATTAATTTGCATACCAGTGGTCTCATGTTCGAACTCCCATGACACCTTAGTAGTGAGTGTATAAGAAACTCCCCTCCCTTTTATAGTTTAGACTATCGCTTGTATTAAAAAAAAGTTTGATACATTGCTTTAATTAAAAATGGTTTTAATTAGCTAATAAAACAACTAAATTCCCATTTTCCTATGCTATTATACAATCAATGTCTTAACATTGTACACCTTTTTATCTGCAGTGTGCAGAGGCTAAACCCCATTTAATTAATTAAACTTAACCAGCTATCTATTTAATAGCCCAAACCATGTGGACAAAGTAAACCTTTTTACCTACATTCTAGGCTCTAGCTAGAGGCAATGTCAGAAATACCTCAAACTTCTGTTAAACTTCCCATGCTCGACATTTCTCAGCCAATATTGCACCCTTCTTCTTTATCCTCTCTAGCTGAAGCCTTCAAAACATGGGGCTTCTTGCACATCACCAATCATGGGATCTCCAAAGATCTTTTCAGAAATCTATATTCACTTTCAAATGGCCTCTTCAGCCTCCCTCCTGATACTAAACTCAAACTTGGTCCTTTCTCTTCTGCAAAAACTTATACTCCTCATTTCATAGCCTCTCCGTTCTTTGAAAGCCTCAGAGTTTCTGGCCCAAAGTTCTTTGAGTCTGCTCAAACTTCTGCCAATGTTCTCTTTGACCAACACAACTCTGAATTCAGGTACTATATATATAGATAATTGTATATATACATACTGTCATCCTCATAAGTATATATATATATGCTTCTGTTATCTTATGTCTTTTATCTTCATATTTATTTTCTTGAGGTTTGGAAAGGGCCTTGTAGCTCAAGCTATTAAGAATATTCACCCTTATTCCCGAGGTCCTCTGTTCGATTTCCCCTACCCCACTGTTGCTTGTATCACAATAAATTCACTTTAGGTTATAATTAATTTGCTATTTCTGATCATCTGTTTCTTTCTAACAGTGAGATATTACAAGAATATGGGAGCAAGATGACAGAATTATCGAAGAAAATCGTGAAGATCGCACTGATGAGCTTGGGGGATGGTTTGGTAAAGAAATTTTATGAATCTGAATTCCAAAATTGTCATGGTTACTTGAGAATAAATAACTACTCAGCTCCAGAAAGCTTGGAAGATCATGAAGATGAGGTTGAAGGACTTGGAATGCACACAGACATGAGCTGTGTAACAATTGTGTACCAAGATGAAATCGGAGGGCTTCAAGTGAGATCAAAGGAGGGTAAGTGGATGGACATAAGCCCATGTGAGGGGACCTTGGTGGTGAACATAGGGGATATGTTTCAAGCCTGGAGCAATGAGAAGTTAAGGTCATCAGAACATAGAGTCATTCTAAAGCAGCCGGTGAACCGCTTTTCTCTGGCCTACTTTTGGTGTTTTGAAGATGAGAAGGTGATATTTGCACCAGATGATGTGGTGGGGGAAGAGAATGTGAGGATTTACAAGCCATTTGTTTGCTTGGACTATTTGAAATTCAGAGAGAGCAATGAGAGAGGGAAGTTTGAAAAGGTTGGGTTTACTGTAAGGGATTTTGCTGGGATTAAACAGCAAGCCAAATGTGACAGTTGAAAAAACAAAAAAAACAAAATTGAAGCTCCTCTTGTAATTAAAGTAATTATAGTTAGGCATTGTATTAAGTAATAATCTGGCTTTAAAATTGTAATGTTTGTGCTAAATTTGTTTGTGCCAGTGTGCTTGCGTGAGATGCAGAGAAGAAATTGGTAGGAGTTAGTTGAGTTTGAGGAGCCTTGACTTGTTGGTACTTGACTTATTTGCATTATTATTATACAATCCTTGAATTGGTGTTCTTATGGAATTTCTACTATCTTCTTCTTCTTCTTCTTTTTTATTTTTTATTTTTATAATTATCATGATTGTGCTAAGATTAATGGTCCTTATTACATGTAAATTTTCGTAGGGTATCGCTATTTGGACCACATTTACTTGTTGACCACCTTTCTAATATAAGTGGGTTCTACATACACTGGTGAGGCCCACCCCTATTAGAGAGGCGGTCATCAATATGATACAGATAACATTAGTCTCAATACAATTATTCATTGGAAGTTTCATTCTTCTAAAATGATAAAATGTATTTTCATGTAGAGGCAACTCATCCATTCTATTTGTTTGATCATATGAAATAAACTTACTTCACTTAATTTGCATTCCTATAACTCGAAGTGGGAAGATTAATTGGGGTCTAAGAGATCAAAGGTGGTGGTGGGTTTCTTCTGCCTACCACTTTTTTGTTTCTTGAAGAATTAATGTAAAGATTATTAAATTTGTGAGAACACATGAAGATGGCACTTGTCAACTTGGCATTATTTTTGCAACTATTGAACTGTAAGCAATGCATTAAAAATGTCCTCGTTTTGTGCGGTGCTAATTAGGCCACAAAGCTTACTTAAGAAACCTAATTATTGATTAATGAATCAAATTATCTTCAATCCTCTGCTGCCTGCTGTGATAAAAGAGGATCTCTGGGTAACTGGGTTGGCATGTTCATTTGATGAAGTGTTAAATTCAGGTCATTTTACAGTTTTTCCAGCTTCTACTGTCAGGATTTTTACCCTGGTATTAATCTGTTTGAACATTTCCTCTGAATAGGTAGGCAGTGAAAATGTTTAGGTGGCTGGCAGTAATATAAAAGAGACAAAATTACTACTTTATTGAACTCTCACTCTTTAACTCTAGCTGA